CAGGTAGGTAGTCCTCCTTTATCCATGGTTTCATTTTCCATGGTTTCAGTTACCTACGGCCAACCATGTTCTGAAAATATTAAATAAAGAATTCTGTAAATAAACAATTCATAAGTTTTAAATTTGTATGATTCTGAGTAGTGTGATGAAATCTCACACTGTCCTGCTTCGTCCTGCCCTTCGTGAATCTTCCCTTTGTCCAGTGTAATTTAAACTAATGCTTGTCACCAGCTCAGTGCCAATAGGAGTCCCCAATTTAGGATGCAGTGAAGCGGGGGAGACTTCAGCGCAAACAACTGAATTGTGAAACAGCTCGACTGCAGAATAACTCAGTTGTGATTCAGCACAGCTGTGGAACAGAGTGGCTGTGAGACAGCTCAATTATGATACAGCTCAATTATGATACAGCATAGCTGTGGAACAGCTCAGGCGAGGTGGCCCTTGGTGTTACAGCTCCTGTGTCATAGCTCAGTTCTGTGAGACAGCTCTGTTCTACACCAATGTTACAATGCTCTGGCTGGGGAAACACAGTCTGATGGAAACTGAATGTGCACTCCACTGTGGCAGAGGGGAGGCTGACATATATAGAGAGGCTCCTGCCCCTGGTCCCTAATTAATCCATTTCTATGCAGGTGAGGATTCCAATTCCTCACAGTCTGGGAAAGCTCTTTATCTGTCATTTCATTTTAAATAATAGCTTTGCTGGGTAGAGTAATCTTGGTTGTAGGTCCTTGCTTTTTATCACTTGAATATTTCATGCCAATCCCTTCTGGCCTGCAAAGTTTCTGTTGAGAAATCTACTGAGTCTTATGGGAGCTCCCTTGTAGGTGACTAACTGCTTTTCTCTTGCTGCTTTTAAAGTTCTCTCTTTGTATTTAATCTTTGGTATTTTTATTATGATGTACCTTGGTGTATGCCTCTTTTGTTTCATCTTGTTTGGGACTCTCATCTTGGGCTTGGAGGTCTATTTCCTTCACCAAGTTAGGAAAGTTTTCTGTCATTATTTCTTCAAATAGTTTTTCAACTCTTTGCTCTCTTCTCCTTCTGGTATCCCTATGATATGAATGTTGGTACTGTTTATGTTGTCCCTGAGGCCCTTTAAGCTATCCTCATTGTTTGGGGATTCTCTTTTCTATTTGCTGTTCTGATTGGGTGTTTTCTGCTTCCAAATCGCTGACTTGAGCCTCTGCTTCATGTAACTTACTGTTGATTCCATCTAATGTACTCTGCATTTCATTTATTGTATTCTTTATTTCTGACTGTTTCTTTTTTGTTTTCTATCTCCATTTTTATGTTTCCTATTTCATTGTTAAAGTTTTCACTGAGATCATTGAGCATCCTTATAACCTGTGTTTTGAACACTGCATCTGGTAGATTGCTTGTCTGCATTTTGTTTAGTTATTTTTCTGGAGCTTTTTTCTGTTCTTTTATCTGGGGCATGTTTCTTTGTCTCCCCATTTTGATTGCCTCCCTGTGTTTGTTTCTAGTATTAGGTAGGGCTGCTATGTTTTCCAGCTTTAGTAGAGTGGCCTTATGTAGCAGATGTCCTGTGGGGCCCAGTGGCACAGTCTCTCTGTTCACCTGAGCCAGGTGCTCCAGGTGAGTCCCTTGTGTGGGTGTCGTGTGCCCCCTTATAGCTGAGCCTTGGTTGCTTGTTTCCATGTCAGTAGGAGGGATTGATCCTTGGGCTGATTGGTTGTGAGGACTTCCCGTGACTACAGTGGAGGAGCTTTTGTGCAGGGGTTGATCCTATGTAGCAGGATTTGCTTTAGCAGGGCTCGTTTGCCTGTCCAGCATGCCATTTGGGTGTGGCACCAATGGAATCAGCTGAGTGGTGCTGAAGCGTAATCTGAAGCCGGCCACCAGGCGTGCTGCCACCAGGGCCTCCTGGGAGGGGACGCACTGCAGGCCCAGTTTACTCTCAACCTGTGCACTGCCTGGGGCCACCTGGCTTGAGCCACAAAGCAACCTGCAGATGCCAGCTTCTCTTTGAGCTGGGCTTGTGGTTGCTCAGCAATGGAGCATGCTGACGCCAGGTGTTGCTTGTTTGGGTTTTGTGAATATTTGAAAGATTTTAGGAGTCTGTAGCACGAGCAAACACAATTTGTTTGTATGGAAAAGCCACTGGAAGTGGCTTAGGATGGCCCACCGTTTGGGTGGGGAGGTTCTCAGAGAATCACTAGGGCAAGGCCAACAGTGGCAGCAAGTTGATGGAGATTCACATATAGCGGCTACCTGTGTCTACACAGTATAGTGCAGAAGGCTTAAGAAATAATGACTTTTGCCAGAACTTTTGTCCTGGAGAAAGCTGCCCCTTCAGCCTCACTCCAAAGCCAGACATAGTTCCATTCCTCCCTGTATGTCACTAGTGCCTTTCAAGCCACGGCCCCAACACTAGAACTCAGAGCAAGCAGCCCATCAGCGAGTAAGTTCATGTGCAGGCCCTTTAAGAAGAGCACCTGGGACTCCAGCTGCTCTCCTCACTCAGCCACAATCTCCTTTGGTTTTCACCGCCGGAAGTTACGGGGACTTCTCTCTCCAGCTCTGGAACCCGGGGCTGGGGAGCCTAGTGTGGTGCTAGGACCCTTTGTTCCGCCAGAGTGCCTTCTGCAGCTGAGATATCTCTCCTGATTTTTAACTGCCACACACTGGTGTGATATCATCTCATTTAATGTCTCCGCTCCTACCAATCTGAAGGTGGCTTCTTTTGAAAGGCCTGACTTGTAGGACTTCTGTTCAGCTAGACTTCATGTGGTTCTCAAGGATGGTTGTTCTGTAGTTGAGTTGTAATTTTGATGTTCTCATGAGAGGAGGCAAGCCCAGTGTTGATCTACTCCGCCATCTTGACAGGAAATCCCCGGTCATTGCGTTCTTATCTGGTTTCCGTCAATTTTATTCTTGCTCTCTTGAAGGAAGAAAGTGTTCTTACCTCTTCCACTTTCTCCCCTGGCTGCTATTAAGTTTTTTTTCCTTTGGTACATTACTATGATATGACGAGGTACAGTTTTCTTTTATCCCACTTGTTCGTAGCACTTCAATATATGGCTCTGTGTTGTTTCCCCCCCCNTTTATTATGGAAGTTTAAATAAATATATAAAGGTAGAGGGGATAGTATAATGAGTACTTATTGTTTATATTAAACAACTATAACATTTTGCCACATATACTTTTTTTTTTTTGGCTAAAGTGTTTTAAAGTGAATCATAGACTTCTTAGCAAATGACCACTTAATACTTTATTATGAATCTTTAAAACATGATGATATTGTCCTATATAATTACATCATTACCATTTGTAAAAAAATATGTAAAAACAACTCACTAATGTCTTTTAATACCTAGTCTATATTCCGATTTCTCTTATTAGTTCAAAAATGTCATTTTCAGCTAGTTCTGAAAAGCATGTATTTGAGGACTACACATTGCAATTAGTTGTTGAGTTTCTTTAGTTTTTTTTTTTTTTAATTTTGGATCAACCAAAGCTTACAGAAAAGTTAAAAATACAGTACAACAAACTTAATAAAACAAAGTTAATGAGATAATTTACATATCATACAGTTCACCCATTTCAATGTATAATTTAATTGCTTTTAGATATATTCAGTGTTGTACCTCCGTTACCACAGTTTTAGAATGTTTTCATCACCCTCAAAAGAAATCTCCTACCTATTATCAGTCACTTGCCATTTTCCTCAGCCCTCCACAACCATTAATCTGCTTTCTGTCGCTACAGATTTGGCCATTCTGTTCATGTCATATATTTGGAGTCATGGTATCATAATATGTAGTTTGTGATTGACTTTGTTAACTTAGCATAATGTTTTCAAGGTTCATTCAAGTTGTAGTTCTTCTGTGGCTGAAAACAGCTGGGGGTCTGTGTTCTTCTGTGAAGGGATAGTTACTTTCTGGAATTTAGCTCTTTTACATTTCTTTTCATTCTCTCACTTTCAGGGTTGGATCAATAGTTTCTTGTAACGTTTGTGCATTCTTTTAAGAAGTCAACATCCCTCTGTGTTTATTTAATTTGTTATATATATGTATATATATATATATNAAAGTGTTTTTTAAATTGCAGGGGTAAATGTAAGACTCCAGATTACATCTTCGTCTTTGGAGGATTCCCTTTTGCTTTCTGAATAGCAGTTAGACTAGGTGTTGATTATGTTAATTTAGGACAGAGTTGGTTGATTCAAAGCTGGAGTTTTAAAAATCTTTGTGAGAATTTGCCCTCTTTTCAGTTTGCATACTCTTAGCATGTAGCCCTTATAAGTCTTCTGAAAATCTGGAGTTTTACTGTGGCCCTCCTGCATTGGTCTTTTCTTTTTTTTCCTTCCCATCCTGTGAGATTCTGAAATTTTCTTTTGTTTTTGTTTGGCTAGTTAGTCTGAATATAAATCATCATAATGTTGTCTGAGGATCTGTTTTGAGTGTATTTGAGACCTGATCTATTTCATAATTTCTAAGATATACCTGGATTCCTTGTGTAAGTTGGAGGAATAATCTATTAGGACCCTGCCCACTTTGACAGGTTATAAAATTCAATTTTTGTTTCCCTGGCTCTGTAAGACTGAACACAACTCCATTCAGTTTCTGTGTTCCCACTCGGGTATAGCAAATACTTCACTGGGAAAGTCATGCTGAATGCCTTCAATGTGATTTCTGCTCTGGGATCTTGGCTCCTTATAGCTCAGCTGCTTTGGAAACTCTCCAGTATCTTCAAAAAGATTATAACATAAATTTAATCAAGCATTTTAGTAGCCTTTTTTGGGTAGCTAGTTTGATAAAAGCTAATCTGCTATTGCCAGAAGCATAACTTTCCGCTGTTGTATTCTTCAGTTATTTAGTATGAACTAATGGTTCTTCACTGGCCATGATGTCAGAAGAGGAGAGTCAACATTCTTTACTCATCAAATAATAAGATATACCACCTTTGTGCAGTAAACATCACGTATGTTGCATGTGTATACATATATTTATTTGACAGTATTCATCTCGTTATAGGTTGCTTAGCCAAACAATGAAGGATCATCTAGTAAGAGTGGCAAATGAAGCTGAATTTATCCTGAGCAGGCAGAGAGCAGAAGATATTCACAGACATGCGGAATTTGAGGTAGGTTCAACATATGCTTGGTGTGGAGAAATTACCACTTTTACTGGTAATTACTGGAAACTGCATGTATAAAATGGAAGTATAGTGTAAGCAAACATATATCATAAAAAATTAAAACTTAATTTGTGAGAAAATCATGGTGGATTCTGAGAAGATGGTAAAAGTCTCTGTCACCCTGTGCTCTCAACTCCATTTCACCTATAAGTTACTCGCATCAGCTTCAGTATTTGGCTGACCTGATCTTAACCATTTGAGCTGGGTCTTGGCTCTGATAGTTTTCAAATACAGTAAGTTAGTGAAGGACTTTGCCCTCTCTGGGCAAGACAAAGCTAGTTAACCACAAATGAAAACCCTATGGTACAGATAAGGTTTTCTAGGTTTCTAGAAAGAAGCTGAATACAGAGGCATGAAGTTTCTTTACTTTTGTGGCTTGAGGACATGCTGATCTTTGCAGCCGAGGAAATGAGGGAGCATTTACCTTTCTTCTTGAATCCTCAAGGGGGACCAAGTGACAGACCCATCCTGGGACCACTGCTTATTTCAGCAGGTGCACCTGAACATGTGTAGCAGATGTAAATTCATAGAGGAAATTAATGTTATTGTAGCTATATCGGTTAGAATAGTTCACACCTATGGTTAATTAGAAAATTTGACGAGAACACTTGCTAAGAATTAGAAAAAAATAAAAAGCACCATCTGAATTCTTCATGTCATGGTAAGAGCAGATAATTCAAATGTTGCTGATATTTTTCTGGTATATTTAAAAAGATGAAAACCTCCCCAGGGCATTTTATACAACCATCGTGACATGAAAGAGGTACTGGGAAAATACAGTACTAAAAGACCAATTTCATTTAAGGCTGTGGGTATAAAATTCTAACTAAAACTTGAACCAATATATTCCCAACAATATAATGAAAGAATTATATACTGTGACCATTTAGAAGTTATTCATGGAATTCAAAGATGGTTTAATATTAAGAGATCTACCTCCCAAGTAAATTATGTGAGCAAATTAAAGTGGAAAAATGTGAAGATATCAGTAACTGTAGGAAAAAAAGCATATGATAAATTTTGGCAGCCAGTTTTATTTTCTCAGTAAAACTTTGAGAAAGAAACGTAAATATGAAAAGAATCTGAATATGATAGACTGTTTACTGAGCATCATTTTAAATGGGTCAAGCAATTTCTATTAAAATTGGGGAAAAAAGTAACATCTACAGTCACCATTATTTAACTATTTTTTTAATGTTCTAGTAATTACAAGATACAGTTAATACAAATGCTAGAGAAGAAGAAATAATACTTTCAGATTGTTAATGTTGTGATTTAGCAAAATCTAAGAGATTCTTGAACATTTTTCTACCAGAATTAATAGGGACTTTGGTAAGATTCCAGGTTACAGGATAATATGCAAAAAGTTAATAGGTTTTCTTTTGAGTAGCATGCAGTAGCCAGCTAAGAATATTAATTAGAAATATAGTCTGTTTACATTTAAGGCAAGAATAATATTTAAGGTCAAATTCTGTAAGAAATGCACTATTTGGAACAAAACTATAAAATCTCGTTAATACAAATGACACTATGAACTACTAGAAAGTCCTGTTCACCATTTCCTAGATTCTGTGATTGTTTTACATTTACTTCTGTCCTTTTTTTTTTTGAATGTGAGAGTAAGTTGAAGTCATAATATTCTTTTATCTCTAATTATTTCATTGAGAATTTCCTATCAGTTCTGTGTTTTAATCTTATACAGTTATCAAATCAGAAATTAAAATTGGTACAATGCTATTATTTAATCTACAGACCTTATTTGTATTTTCCCGGTTGTCTCCATACCATCCTTTGTTGTGAAAAAGAGAAAATTTTAATGTTGCAGAAATGTCAGTTTTTCTCAAATTAATATGTAAATTCAATATAATACAGTAGTGTACCATTCCATTAGAATAACAGTGGAGTAAATTGGAATTTAAATGTCACCTTTAAAAGTATTCCAAAATTAAAAACTTCCAAATAATATTTTTGGATATGCAAATATCCAGTTAATATGGGGAAGTAAATGCTTTAATATAGCCCTAAGATTTATGAAAAAAAAAAAGTTGAAGAGGTAGTACTTGCCTTTCCAGATAAACTATACTAAATAAAACAACACTATAAAGATAGCGTATACAAAATATCTGCCAGATGGGTAAGGGTATAGGATGAAAGATGAAATAGTAATTGTTTCAGACATAATATTTGGAAAACTGTAGAAATGGAAATGAGGCTCCACTGTAGAAGTGGAAGTGAGAATTTTGTAACCAAGACAGGACACATAGAAAGTATAATAGTAAATATCTATTACTACATATAACTTTAAGC